GCATGAACAATCGAAAAACGACAAATCTCGAGCCTAAAAAGTGCTTTCGTGACGATCGTAATGTTGTGAAGTGATTCCGTAGGGTACCTGAAGGCCTTTTTGACGTGGACATTTGGCAGGAACTCTGAAAGGCTTGACGGTAGCAGGTGGAAACGTTGCGGCTACTTTGCGTGTCTAGATCGCGCTAGCTTCTCTCTCGAGCTTTCCCTCGCTCTCTCGCTTTCTTTCCCTCTCTCCCCTCAATTATCTCTCAATCACTCACTCACTCACTCACTCCCTCACTCCTCTCTCTCTCTCTCTCTCTCTCTCTGCGCTCTCTAGCGACACGCAAAGCAGCCACAGGCCTAAGCTAGACCCAGCTTTCAAATGCGTGAAAAAATTACCAAAAATGCTTCAAAAGCTCTTCTAGAATCCCTTCCTAATTTCAAACTATCACAATCAAACCAATACGCCATAAAACTTCTTTTTTTCAGGATCAAGCGCATGCAGCAGCAGCCCAGCAACGGTCAGGGTTCGCGGGCAGTGCTGGAATGACGTCGTCACGGCCACTGGCAGCCAAAGCGCTACACTAGACGCCTATCGACACCACCAGTATGCACTACTGTGATTCCACCTCCAAAAGTGTCCCCGAATCGTCAAAAATCCTCAGGAACTCCTTCAATCCCAACCGTATTGATTGCCCGAGAACAAAATCCCCCAACACAAAAGAATGCCACCCGATGTGTTTTTCATTTTTGGCCTCAGTGCGCGCGTGATATGGGTCCATTTTGGGTTCGACTGCTATCTACGTCTCTACGTCTTCGCTCTTTCTAAGCCCCGCCTCTTTCCCCCAACCTTCACTGGCCTTTTAGGATGCATCGGAAAAACTTGGAAGTTTTTAACAATCGTTTGAAAAGTCTTAACAGCAATTAATATAGTCAATTTTTATGCTAATTCGCATGTTTGCATATTGGCATAAATTTTCGGATTCTGGAACATCTGGTTTTTAAGATTTTTAAGATGCTGATTACTTGAAAAAATACTGAAAAAATATTTGGTGTAAAAAATTAAAATAATTTGAAAAATTTTAACGTGGTAAAATTGTCAAAATCCGATCCATCCGCCTCTAAAAATGTATCTACCGTACCCTCCCACCTCGCCCTCCCCGACCTCTAGGATTATTCAATTGTTTTTTCGATAATTGTTTAACGCGGTTTCTCTTTTTTTTGTAAAGCTAGGCATTTTTTCGGGCGGGTGTCCCTTTAAAAATTACCCTCATTTCCCCACAAATTTTTAATAGGGACACCCGGATTTTTAAATTTAATTTTTTTAATTTCCACCCCTCCCACCGTATTATGGTTGTTGGAAAATCCCTGAAAATAATTTTGTAAAGCCAAGAAAATTCAAATCTACCTCAACAAAAATCTAAATTTCACCCTAACAACCATAATTCTTTAAAAACGCTTCTATTAATTTTTCGATACCTTTACCACCTCAAAAATGATAGCCTGAAAAATTGTACAGTACCCCTTTTCTTCCAAAATTTGTAAAATTGACTTTTTTTGCCAATCTGCCCTCCTCCTCCTCCTCCTAGTTCGTATTCCGTCTTTCCTACTGTAGTTTTGTAAATTGATTTTTTAGTTTTCAACTTTTTAACGGAAATATGGTGGTTTGATTGATCTGTGCTTCCCCTCCTCGAATTTTAATTTTTCTGAATTTTTACGATTTTTTAAAATGCCAAATACCGTAACCCGTAAGGTACCGTACTCGCCCCTCCCCCACCCCCCGCTGTAATTTTAATTTTTTAAGCTCCCCTAGGTTTTTGCATTCTTTGTTCTCATCAAAATCGCAGCACACTGTGTTAAAATTTTCGAATTTTTTTGTGCTAATTTTCCAATTTGTCATTTTTGATTTTTGTATGCAGATTAGATGTGGAATTTTGATTTTACTCTTTTTACCGTACCCCCTCACTGAATGCCCATGGTAGGGCCGTCCTCTTTTTTTTGCGTTGCCGTATATATATTTATTCTGCAGCCAACACACACCAGAAAACCCTAAAAAAATCGAAATAAATATGAAAAATTATATCTTGAGAGTTGTTACACGGATATAATGAATGAATATACACTCAAATTGAGCCTTTTTCGATGCAGAGCAATGTAAAAATCATATTCATTAAACAAAATTGATATGATGATATAGAGATCTTCTAGGCATCAGATAGTCATTAAATTTGAGCCAAAAACGAGTCAAAGATAGCCATTTTCGAACAGAGAAGCTTTAGGAAAGGGCATCAACCCGGCTTGTTGCTACCCAAAAACATAAAAAAAACGGAAAGTACAAACTATAATGGCCCAGGACTACAATAATCTTCTAAAATTAACCATATACGGAAATATACAAACTACAGTATGACCAGACTACTTGTGCTCCTCTTAGAACCATTAAAGGGATGGTGCCAGCTAGAATTTACAGCTAGAAAGTTCCCGTATGCCCTTGAAGAGAGGCTATGTTTCTTGCTGTCACTACCCCTTGAAGCTTCTAGCACGAGCCGTGACGATAGACACTACAACACACTACTATTGACGATCAGAAGGTAAATAATGCTAGTAAATATAGATATTATTTGGTAAAAACACATAGCGTTATTGTTGGTGGTAAATAATTGGAAATTCGACTGCTAGCTAAAAGATAGTTACGTTGCAATCTAAAATTGCAATTACGGATATCCCTTAATCATCGACACAATCTCGACGGCACTCCTCTGCTGGGTCCGCCCACGGTTTGCATGCTCCACGCTTTGAGGGATCAGCGCCTTCGTGACAAAGTCTTTCGCGTCGCGCCAGATTTGGGCCTGAAAAACATCGACATTTTCTAAATATTGCCCAGTTTTGGCGTAGTATGATGGAAAATAATCCAAAAATATAGTAGTACTCCGCTCACCTGTCTCCTGGCGCTACTAGCAATAATCTGGATTCGTTCGCATCCGGCTGTATCGATCGATCGTCTCGTCCAGGGCTTCGTCGATGATTTCCATTAGTGCGCTCTGTTCTTCTAGCTAAAAATGGGCAGTATGATAAAGTGAGCGAATGCGAGAGAAAGACAGTGCCAGAGAGAGAGAGAGAGAGCGAGATAAACCTACCATTTCCTTGTTATAAGCTTCGCTTTTTCTCCTGGAGTTGATGAAAATCGGGATCGTATCCGTTTGAGTGGCAATAGCTGTTGCGACGGAATCAGAGAGGTCAATTGTCGTTTGGGTGCTGATCGGCTGAAAAGAGCGACAAAAATAATTTGTTTTAATCATAAATAGAGAATAATAAATTTCAGTTATTGAAATTTCAGTATACT